CCCCCCTGGACTTCTTGTAACTTGGGACCTGGTCCGGGAGTCCGCATCCTTCCTTCCTGACTGGTGCTCGGGCGCACACGGACCTGGGGCTCTGAGTGTGTATGGTAAGCACAACTCTGCTGGTGCACCCCGGACTTTGGTAAGGGGGGGGCCCCAAACCCCTCGGTCTCGTGTGCCAGCCTTGATTGAGACCGTTGGGGGCTTGCCTTTGACGTTCACCTCCCTTGTTGCAAGATCGTGAAAAACATTTGATGAGCCAAAAAAACGGTTTGAAGGTCAGCAGAACGTTCTGAACCGTGAACACTGGGTGGGACGGTTTGTAATGCAGCAGGAGAAGCCTGGACACTGCAGCATTCGCTGATTCGTAAGGACTGGAAGCAGGTTACAGGAACTCGTGAGTTGCACGGTTGCCTTAGCTCCTGATCATCCAAACTCCGGCGTTCTTTGAACCCCACCCCACAGAAGGGGCACTTGGGTTCTCTCCCTCCTCCCTTCCATTGTACTTGAACTCTTCGGGAAGAGGACAGAAGAGGCTGTGCTTTCCGACACATTTGCTGTCATTGTAACTAGTGAAAAACGGAACGCTCCTTGCCGTCTAGTGGACTGTGGCCCGGCAAGGCAGAGTAGAACTAACTGCCCCATAGAGCTCCCAAGGCTGTAAATCTCAACGGAAGCAGACTGCCGCATCTAGATTCTCCCAGAGAGAGCCAGCCAGGGTTTCCAGCTTCATTTTGAAGCCAAGTGCCTGTCCGCTGTGCCGCTGGGGCGCCCTAGCTAGTGAAATGGAAGCTATGAGAAGAAATACAAAGAGTAACAAAGATGCAAAAATGGAACTCACTTCCTTTCTCAAAGGAAAGGAAACGGTGAAATCCAGTTTTGCATGATTTTTACATCATTTGTGTGGGGGAGCTTATCTTTTAAAATGTTTACTCTTTATCTGGAACATCTGATTTCTTCCGTTAAAGCATCCTAACCCCTGTAAGCTAGAAGAGGTGCCAAAGCAACATCGGAGCAAAACGTTCTTTTCCTCCAAGGTGATGTTTATAAAAGAATTAAGGAACTCTCGATGTCACTCTCCCTTGTGGTGCACAATTGACCCCCTGCCACTCTCCCTCTTTAAAAACATCACTCCTGGCCCCCCAACACACCTGCCACTCCTGCCTGCGTCCATTTCCTTTGCCCTTCATAACGCTGTGTGTTTCAAAAGGAGCATTTGGATTGGTTTCCTGGCAGTAGCCATAGTGGCTGCTAGGCCTTGTGAAGAATGCTTTGATGCCTTGTTGTGTGTCAGTCTTTCAGTTCCTTTTGAGAAGGGAAGCCTCAGTGCAAGGAAGAGACATCCTCCCAAAATAGTTAAGCCAGATGAAGGGCCTGTTTTTGCCATAGTTTGCGTTGTTTTTCTTGAAGAAATTAGAGCAGATGTCAGAAGTTTAGTTGAAAACAGCAAATACCAAAAGATGCCTTTTTTAGTTTACCCAAGATCAGATTCTCTTTCAAGTAGGCTAGAAAGACATCTTTATTTTGCCAGAGATTGACTGTTCGTTGCCTTGGCAGGTGGCATAGTGCAGTTTGGAACCAGTCCCAGTTCTTCCAGATCAAGGACTTTTATGCGCACGCACACACACACACACACCATGTCATGATTTTATAGTGAAATCTCAGTAGTAAGCTCTGTCAATACATACTTTATAATTACTAATAAAATTTGGGTCATTATGTAACATTTAGACCAGTGGTTCTCAACCTTCCTAATAATACCCATGATCCTTTAATAACAGTTCCTCATGTTGTGGTGACCCCCAACCATAAAATTGTTTTCGTTTCTACTTCATAACTGTAATGTCGCTACTGTTATGAATTGTCATGTAAATATCTGATATGCAGGGTGTATTTTCATTGTTACAAATTGAACATAATGAAAGCATGTGATTCATCACAAAAACAATGTCATTGTATATTGTGAAATATTTAATTCTAATTACAAATAAATGAAATTTAGTCTTGAAGCATGGTGCAGCCTGGGTAACAGTCTTCACGTCGGGCATAGCTGCATGTGGGCGAACCCGCCTGGAGACAGATAGAGGAGTGGTGTCTCTGTTCCTAAGACCATCTGAATTAAGTGTTTTCTGATTGTCTTCGGCGATCCCTGTGAAAGGGTTCTTCGGTCCCCTCCCCCCAAAGGGGTCACGACCCACAGGTTGAGGACCGCTGATGTAGTTGTTTGAAGTAAGTTGGTGGTGTAATGGATTAAAAGTTGGGCAGCTAACCGTGAGACCAGCAGCTCAAATCCACCAGTAGCTCTGTGGGAGAAAATGAGACAGTATGTTTCATTAAAGATGTACAGCTTTGGAACCCCAAAGGGGCAGTTCTTCTCTGTCTTATAGGGTCACTGAGTCAGAATAGAATTGACCAGATGGCAGCGAGTTTGCAGGTGTGTTTGTTTGTTTGTTTGTTTGTTTGTTTTAGAGTTTTGGTATTATAAGTGTAAAACATTTAGTTATCTTAACTCGTTGTTTCATTTAATGTAAGTTGTTCTCTATCTTTTAGTACATATTCTGTATAACAATATCCTTAGTAATACTAGAAGACTTCTAAAAGTTCATGGAAATTTTCCATTATCTTTTCATTCATTTTCCATGTACTCTTTGAAGCCCCTCCATAACTTTGCTCATCTTTTAGGATGGCGCGTAATGTGCGCTCTTCAGAAATCTCCCGCACTCTTCCTCATGTGGCCCTTTTGCTTTCAGAGATGATATTCTAACCAAAAGGAGGGCGGGGTGGAGGCAACGTTTTCTTGGAAGTGAGTGACTGATTATACTTCTAATATTAGGGTACCCCCCAAAAATAGCCCCCAAAAAGTTTTCTTTTTTTTTTTCTTTCCTTTTTCCTCCAAACACAGAATCGATGGAAATTTTCTTAGATAACACCTACTCCATCATTAAATATGTTGGCTCTGCCTCTGAAAATAACCAGCCAGGAGTCGGTGATGCAATGGGCTCAGTGTGGTTATGCTACTGCTAGGTGTGGATAGGTTAACTCAGCCTGAGTGTCCAGTGTGGATCGTGAGGCGGACGAAAACACAGCAGAATCACCTGGCATGGTCCCAGCACTTGGTTACCGCTAGGTAGTTGACCTCACAGAAAAGGTGCCTGGTCAGATTCATGAAAGAGCTCAGCGCTTGATCCTGGGATAAGACAAGCTAATGTATAGTAGGTTCTGAGCTAATGTGACGATAACTGTCCTCAATGTAATTAGCATCCTGTGAAAATTCCCTTATCCAACAAGTTATTTTTTAATGACTCGTAAATGTTTATTGAATGTTCATTGTAAGGTGCTACGAATACCCTTTCACTATATAAGGGAGAAGGAAGAAATTAGTTTTCACATACTGTGAAAAACAGTCGTTGTGTTTAAGGCATCATGCCTTTCTGGGACAGTAACCAAAGCATCTGCTGACCCTGGGTTCCAAAACATGGTGACCGCATGTCTGTCACAACAGAATTGTGCTCCAGAGAATTTTCAGATTTTTCTACAGTAGATCACAGGCCTTTCTTGCCAGACATCTTGCGGTGGACTTGAACCTGCTACCTCTAGTCAGCAACTGAATGTGTTAATGACCATTTACAGCACCTAGGAACTAATGGAATGATAGACATGCCCTATATCAACACTGTTAAAGTAACTACTGGTCATAGGTGGCTGTTGAGTGTGTGAAATATAGTTCATGCAAGTGAGGAACTTCATTTAAAACGATAATGAATAGAGTGGCCACGGGTCTAGTGACTGTTGTAATAGGTGGCACACATCTAGGTGGGGATGACTTTAGAGTAGAGCTTTGAAGGCTTGGTGGCATTTAGTCTGTGGATAGAGAGCTCAAGGTCTTCACACAGAAGCGAGACTTGACTAAAAGCAAATGTGATTGAAAGGACCCAGTAGGGCCAGACTAAGGGGTGGGGTTCTTTACTGTTTCATCTATTTCCATCCTACTTTCAGAAATGAGCACCTCGATTTGACAAACACAATGCTATTCTGGGTTTACAGGGCCAAGAACTAGGTGTAGATTGATGAACAAGCCAGTCATTCATCATCCCCTCCCTCGTGGAGCTTCTGAGGAAATTGGTCCACAGATGGTGACGATCCTAGCTGGGTAAAGAACAGGGTGTTTTGAGATAGTACCAAAGAGCCTAACTTAGAGGAGAAGATAGCTCATGAAGACATGAGGCATGGGTGAGAATTGGCAAAGAGAGCTCAACTAGGCAGTGCAAAGGAGCTCTTAGTGGCGCAGTGGTTAAGCTCGGAGCTGTATGGTTGGAGTCCCATCCTACCTGTGACCCCACAAGTGCGAAGAACTAGTTTTCTACTCCCACAAACCCAAGATGCCATCCCGGACACACTTCTGGGGCAATTCCTTCTACTCTCCTCTTTAGGATTGTTTGGATTCAAAGTCAACTTGAAGGCACATAAAAAGCTTTTTTAAGTCAGGGAGTCGCAATGAAAGGCAGTTTCAGAGTGGAAACGCAACCTCAGGAGGTGTGTTCCTGGAAGCTGGTAATCATGGAGTTGTGTAGTCTTCTTACACTTTGATCTTATTTTGTTATTTTAATAATCATGTAGTTGTGAGTTTGGGTG